CATAGCAGCAGTCATTTTGTTACTTGGCAGATTCACGTTTCATGTTGGTCAGCCTCTTCACAAGCAGGAATGAACTGCAGGAAAATTACCCTTAGCCCTTTAAAAATGGTTATTACAAATAACTTATTTCCGATATTTTAGGGGTATTTGTTCTCAGAAAATTTTTATTAAATATGAAATTGATTTTCTAATAAAATTGTGTTTTAGAATAATTTTAGATATACAAGAAAGTTGCAAAGATTATCTGTTCAAAGTAGAGTTCCCAGTTTCTATTTCCCCTATTGTCACCATCTTAAATACAGCGATACGTTTGTCAAAACTATGAAACCAACATAGGTATGGCTATTAAGTAAACCGCAGACTTCACATGAATTTCACCTTATTTCATTAGTGTCCTTTTTCTGCTTGAGATTCCAGTCTAGGATATCACACCATAGTCATGTCTCCTTAGTCTCTTCTGGGGTCTGTGACAGATTTTCCTTGTCTTTCACAACCTTGGCAGTTGTGGAATATTGGTCAGATGTTGTGTACAATGTTCTTAAATTTGAAAAAAAAACATCTGATGTTTATCTTATGATGAGGCTAAGACTATGGGTTTAGGGGAAGAATATTACAGTGATAAGCGACCTTATCACATTGTACAGAGGACTCCTGATGTTCACATGATTTACCAGGGGTGATGTGAACCTCCATCACTGGGGTAAAGTGGGGTTTGCACGTTTCTCCACTGAAAAGTTGCAATCTCTCCCTTTCCATACTTTGTTCTTTGGAAGCAAGTCATTAATTCTACCCCACACTCAAATTATTCTTGAATGTAAAAATTATTCCTATTTTATTTGTTTTAAATGTAATATCCATTTGTAAGATTTTCAAGACTATTACAACTGACAGGGATTCTCTTTATCTAATACTAAACTTTAAATTTTTTAGATTCAAGTACTTTGGAAAGGTAGATATTCTAAATTAAATGTATAAGGTAGTGTGACTGCTGCTTTCTAAGGGGTGAAATATGAGTTTGTATAATTCTATATAAATAGTTACCTTTTTAATGATGTCAGAGAGTAGAAAACACTGTGAGAACATCCCTAACTTTGTGCCAAAGGACAATATGGGAGTATAATTTTTTATAATCTTAGAGTAGAAAGCTCTCTCTAAAATGACACAAAACTTAGAAGCCCTAATGGAAAAGATTAATAAAAGATTAAAATAATAAGGAAAAGGGGGAATCCCTGGGTGGCTCAGCAGTTTAGCGCCTGCCTTCTGCCCAGGGTGTGATCCTGGAGTCTTGGGATCGAGTCCCACGTCAGGCTCCCTGCATGAGCCTGCTTCTCCCTCTGCCTGTGTCTCTGCCTTTCTCTCTGTGTCTCTCATGAATAAATAAATAAAGTCTTTTTAAAAAATAATGAGGAAAAGGTTAAGAAAAGATTATATTAAAATTTAAAAGTTCTTCATAGAAAAAAATGTATAAATAAAAACAATATAAACATGAGCTTAAACCAATAATTGAACCAAAAATCCAGTAGGAACATCACAGAGGATACAAATAGAGAATTCACAGATAAAGAAGTATAAATGGCTTATTAACATGTGGAAAGATGCTCCAATATGATTCAAAATAACAGATGCATATTAAAACCACAATCAGATCCCTTTTTTATCCTATTAGGTTGAGAGAAAAAAACTGATGAACAATACATGGCACTGGCAATAGTATAGAGAAGAAACAGCTCCCATCCCACGTCGCTGATGGGAATATAAACTGATCCAACAACTTTTGGTTGGCAATTGGGCAAGCATCAGTCAAAGATGTCATTGGACATACCTTTGCACTAGTGATTCCATTTTTAGGAATGTCTCTAACAAATGTACTTGTATATATATACATGTACAAAGACACACAAAAAAACTGTTCATTGCAGCATCATTCATAATGGTGAGAAACTGGAAGCCAGCTAAGTGGTCACCAGTAGGGAAGGGTTAAGTGTATGAAATAACCATATAATAGGAAAAAATGCAATCATTTCAAAGAGAGGTTTCTGTGAGCCAATGTGGACCGTCTTGTAAGATGTATTAGTAATTGAGAAAGGCAGTGTGAAGAATCCGTATAAAGCATTCTAGTGTTGTGTAAAAATAAAAAAGATATGTTTTAAGAACTTTCTATGTAACCACAGATATATTCCTTGTGCTGGTTATTTCTGGAATGATATATAAAAGGTTATAAACAGTGGTTGCCTTTGCTGAGGAACATGGGAGATTAGGGATGTGAAGTGGGGAGGAGGGTTATCTATCACTTCTATTTTTTTTATTATTCTACTCAGTTTTTTAAAAATATATACAGCATTTTTTGTTCAATTGCAGTTCCAGATGACCAATACATATTATATATTAAATGCACATATAATTTACAGATTAAACTTTAGCACTTAGAGTTTCTGAAACTTTTAACTTTGCTTTCTTGAAATAAATTGTGCTCCTAAAGATCACTTTCCAGAACTATAGGAGGAAAAGGAAAAGCTTAACTGATGCCCACACTCTCTGTGTTGTGAACCAGCACAAGAAAAGTTGTAATAAACATACTGTCCCCTCTCCCACCATTTTTTGGAATAATTCTGAACCATGGGTTATTTCTGCTCCTGTGAGTGGTTTGGCTTTTCCACTGAGGGTATGTTTGTGATGATAGGTAGAGGGGATATTGGGTGGTATGTTGCTGCCTAAGGCCATATACAGAGCTAGGAAGGAAAATCCACAACTCTGTTAACAGCTCGGTTCTCCATACTGCAAGCTCAATGGTACCCTACTGGTTTCATTATATTGTGTTTGTTAATTAGATCCAGTTCAGACTCCAAAAGCATTGGTTGCACAAAGTCATTCATCAAGGGGGACTTGTTACTCAAATCGACTTCACATAGTTCTGTGGTGAGAATAGCCTTCTTGCAAAGAAGCGTCTTTGCTTTGTAAAACTTTTGCTTTAATGGGATTTTTACTTATATGAATTTGGGATATTTCCCAAGAGGTATCACTTTGGGCCATACTAGCCAAAAATCACTTTTATGACTAGATCGGTTTCTTTTTCCCCAGTGTTCTGGGTTGTGTCCCTCCAAAAAAGATGTGTTGGAGTCTCAACCCCACACCTCAGAATGCAACCTTATTTAAAGATAGGGTTTTACAAAAACGATCTAGTTAAGATGAGGTTATTAAGGTGGGCCCTTGTATAGTATGATGAGTGTCATAAAAAGGAAAAATTGGGACATCGATATGTACACAGGGAGAATGGCATGTGTTGGACGTGCTGCTATAAACTGAGGAACTGCCAAGAAGCTAGGACAGCAGTCTTTTTTCTTTTTAGGACAGCAGTCTTAAACAGATCCTCCACCAGCACATTCGGCAGGAGCATGGCCCTGCTGCCACACTGCTTTGGGACATGCAGCCTCCAGAAATGTGACACAATAAATTTCTGTTGTTCTAAGCCAGTCTTAGCTAAAGTGGTGGGCCACCCTAGCAAACCAATACATTTAAAATGGGGAATATTAAAAGTATAAAAGACTTCAGTTCAAAAGGAGCTCAGGCCTTCTCCGGTTTCTTCCTGTCCTAGCAAATGTCCCTGGTGAATGTGAATTCTGATTGTGGCATTTAGTCTAGAAAGAATAACTACCTTTTCAATCTGGGTTGTGTTTCTACAACATTCTAGGAAGAAAATTTAAAAATACCACTTTTCCCTGGGAAAGCTAATCCACCTTTTAGGTTATATTTCCTGGTTTGGGACCTTCTTGTGCAAGTTGTTTCTCCTTCCCCTCTTTCAAAACTCACTTTCAGAACTTGTCTGAAGACTCACTTCCTCATGGGTCTTTCCAGGCTAACTCTTAACAGAATATGGTCACTTGGCAACACTCGCGAATGCCCCACGGTGCCAAGTTTATGCTCCTGACCTAACCTCTTTATTTCTCACTGTGCACTGAAGCTTTAGCACTTAAGTTAGAATCGTTGTATATCAGTTTTCTTTGAATGGTAAAGTCTTTGAAGGAGGTTTCCTTCAATAGGTGCTAATAAATATAACAGTTATGATTTATAGAGTACTTATCCTGTACTTCTCCGCCCTGTGAACCTGGAGAAGGACACACACACACACACACACACGTTCATGGTCACACAGAGCCAGGAATTCATCACAGGCCAGACTGACTCTGCAGCCCTGGCTCTGGGACTTGTACTCAATAAAGATGGCCAGTTAAGCCAAGTCTGACTAATCCAGCAGTGACTTCACCCCCTCTTGCTCACTGATCTACCCCCAGGGCCTAGAAAAGTGGGTAGGTGCCCTATTCATACTTTTGTTGCAGGAGTTGTTGGTACCTCCGTACGAGTATGGCCATCCTAGGCCATCCTACGGGAATAGAGACAATCATAGGAGAAGAAACTTCTCTAGACGAGTGGGTTGAACCATCTAAAATTGTCCGTATTCCAAATTTTTGACCTAGAGAGGTCAAAAATACATACAGTTTAATCTTATACAATTGCTAAAAAGGATTTAATGTTCAGCCTTTTGCTGCTTGATTTGTTTTTAGAAAACAGTTTGTTGGTCCCATGTCAGGGAATCTCACACCTTCCCTCTGTAGCCCTTGGTTTCTGGCAAGGACAATGCATTACTGTGTCTCTTTCACTACCTATTCCTGACCTTTGTGGCTGTCTGATAAAGCAACATTTTGTTTCAATTGGCACGATTAAAGCTCTTCTCCCATGAGAGGCCACTGGTTCCTGGGACTGGGACTGGGACTGCAGCCTCTCCCAGAATCCATTGTTTATCATGCCTCTTACATATTTGGAAGACTAGGGCCCAAATATCCAAGTCCTTCTCCTTCTGGTCCTTCTCCTTCTGGTCTGCTTTGTGGCCTAGATCAAGCCACCTTTGCCACTGTGGTTTCTGCTCTGATAAGTCAGTCTGAGGCCAGTGGATAAGCATGTCTGAAGAGTCTACATTATTTGATTCTATCTCTCCTCTGTTGCAGGTCCTGGATTGATCCTCTGATTTTCTCACCCGCTCTCCAACATCCTCTTTATGGGTCTCCCATCTCATCCAAAGTTGGAAAGGTATAGTTACCTTGCTGTGTGAGGTGCAAGAAAGGGCCTGAGTCACTAACTGCCACCTATGATTTCCACCCACCTCCCTCTGTTCAGCCCATGTCCCAGCTCCAAATCCTGAAGCTACCAAGTGCCATTCCCCCTGCCCCCATCAGTAGCCTCTCTGCAGGCATGCAGGGTACCGCTCCCTAGGCTGGGAGAGTCACTTCTCACCATTCCACTTCCGCTTCCCATTTTCCATGAATGTGTTGGTTTCAGATCTGTTCATTGTCTCTTGTCCCATTCTCTTTAACCTTGTGGGTTTATAACTTGCCTGTTTGTTTTAAATTCACTTTTTCTTCCTTTGATAGGGTTTCAGGAAGGAGAAGATATTAAGACACAGGTTCAATCTGTGTGTAGATCAGAAGGTCGTTGTAACACATTTTTAAAAATAATGGCCCTGCAAGGTATGGATTAGTAGGCTCGTTTTACAGATAAAGATACTGAGTCTCAGAGAGATTCAGTTAATTGCCTGAGAGCTCACAGCTAGGTATCAGAGCTGTGATTCAGACCTATATTTAACTGAGTCTAAAGCCCATGTGCCTCAGCAGTAAAGAATCCTATCTGCCATAGTTACCTGAACAGAGGACAGGTACTGCTGTCAGGGATGGTCCTAAGAAGACACACGATTTGGGTCAAGCAAGATCTAGACGGCCTGGAGGTCTCTTCCATTTCTGGTTGTAATGTCTCCCTTTGTTTTGTTTCATAATCAAAGCAAGTGGGTCACAGAGATATTTTTAAGCAAAGATAATTGACTTAATATCACTTTAGCTGAAGCATTAAATAATGCTCAGTTAAAACCCTGGGGGAGAGACATGAAGCAGAAGACTGAACTGAGTAATCCATAGTACCTAATTATAAATCTAGCTACAGATACAATCAGCCCATGGTGATATACAAGGAGGAAAATACATGTTTACGTGGCACCTCTCTGAAGCCTCCACTTAAATGCCCTGTGTCATAGAGCCTGCTCACTTATAGCATTTGGCCAAAATCACTGAAGGAATGAATTATTTACCATTTGCTTAAGATTCACACTTGAGGGGCAGCCTGGGTGGCTCAGCTGTTTAGCACCGACTTCAGCCCAGGGTGTGATCCTGGAGTCCCTGGATCCAAGTCTCAGAGTCATATGTCAGGCTCCCTGCAGGGAGCCTGCTTCTCCTTCTGCCTGTGTCTCTGCCTCTCTCTCTCTCTGTGTCTCTCATGAATAAATAAATAAAATCTAAAAAAAGAAAAGATTCACACTGAGCAGTATTATTTTGGACATGTCATCATTTTGCTTATATTAAAATGATGAAATGGAAAATAGAAGATGTGATACCTGGGGGCATGTAGGTGGCTCAGTTGGTTGAGTGTCTATCTTCTCCTCAGGTCATGGTCCTGGGGTCCTGGGATGAAGCCTGAAATCAGGCTCCGTGCTCAGCGGAGAGGCTGCTTTTCCCTCTCCTTCTGACCTTACCCCCTGTTCATGCCCTCTCTATCTCTCTCTCTAATAAATAAATAAAACCTTTAAAAAAAAAAGGATGTAATACTTGAAGTATTTCAGAGAAAAAGTTGGAGACAGAAATGGTGGTCACAGAGACTCCAACAATGAAAGGCTGAATATTTTATCTTTCAAGAGTGCACAGTTATACATAGTATAAGCTCTTCTATGACTTTATTCAGATGTTATCAAGAATAGGTTAATCAATGAATAACTTATTGTTATGTCAGAATTAAGGTACAAGAAAAATGAAGAGTAAGAAAAAAATAAGAAGCGTGACCTGAATCTTCAAGTATATGGCAACATATTGGAAAAGAGAGGCTAACCTGAATAAATGAGAAGAGAACAGTTCAAGAAGACTCTGTTACGGAAATCCTCAAAAGCTACATCAAGAATCTTAGACCTTCCCTAATGTTATTTTATTATACATTTTGCGTTTGTTGTAAAAATAATTAAAACATAAATCAGGAAAATAAAACTGGGATAAAATTACCCCCAAATCCCAACACACAGTTGATTTATTGCTATATAGCTTTATCAACAGCTCTGTAGTATACCTGCTATTTTGTAAACACATTTTCCACATAAGATCTTGAGCATTTTTCAATGACAGTAAATATGTATCAGAAATATTTCAGGGAGATCAGAAAAGGAAGAGAAAAATGTGGGAAGTGATTGGCCAGGTCTCACTGTAGGTGGGGCTCTGTCCAGGAGAGTGTGCAGGATTTAGATAGCAAGGGGATGAGACTTTCCAGAAAGAACAGCAATGTAGAAAACTGCAGGGAAGGGTAGAGAGCATGGTTCACGCATGGCCCAGCGAGAAGACCTCCCTTGGGGAAACAGCTGGCTTCCCATGGAGAAAGGTGGGTAAGGCTAGGAGAAGGTAGGCAGGCAAAGGGAAGGTTCAGGATGACTTTTCTTCCTCTGCTCTGAACACCGAACAGGGAGGAAAGAATTTGAATGGTAGCCTACAGCCAAATGGGGATGCCTTTCCCCATGAGGAGAATGGGCACAAGTGATGTGCAGTAGTGAGAAGAGGGGTTTTCTATTTCTGCTATAAATTTGTCAAGACTCTTCTGTTGCTAAACAAGAGAAAAAGCTAGTGCTCTAGGTAAAACAAAAAGAAGGGTCAGCTCCAAGGATATAAGGGGCCTCCCATTGCTAGAGCTGAATGCAGCTGGACCTCACGAGATGGCAACTCATTGCTAGAGGGCTGCAAGCAAGCTGGCCTCCTCTGTGTCCGCCTCACCTTTCTGCGTCCCTCATGGGCCTGCCCCATCTCTCTTTCTCTGCAAGCTGGCTTGCTGCACAGTGAATTCCCACAGTGCATTTTAGGTCTACATGCTCCATGTCACATTTATGCCACTTAGAAAGTCTTTCTCTGTCTCCCTCTTGATGTCTTTGTCTGATCCCCACTCTCCAATGAGGAAGGCAACCCTGTTTGGGTCAGTTCAGGCCAGATCTACCCTTGGTTCAGTCAACTGTGGGATGGCAGGAACGGGCCAAGTAATGGAGCCCTACTGGCCCCTGGATTGGAAGGATGGGAATGGGCTGGGACAACATTCCAGATGGTCCTCCGTATGTGCTCTCAACTCTCCCCTTTCCAGAAATTAGTGGATCTCTCACGTACTGGGTTTTAAAAAATCAAGAGCATGCAAGTGCCCAGAATGACTTTGAGTATTATAACCAAAGAGATACCTTTTTCTCAACAAAAGGAAAGGAAATCTGGACATATGATAAGCTCACAGACCACTGAAGAGCCTCTCAGAAAGAGCACATTGTGCTCATGTGCCAATCTGAGCCTGAAACAGCAGAAACATAGAGGAAAATGGAAAATAAAACTCAACCCCACACCATTAACTATGTAACGTGACCTGCAACAAGTAGATCATGAAAGATGACCAATGGCAGGTGGTGTTAGGTATATGTGGATCTTGGGGGTCAAAATCCCCCAAGATCCCCTCAAAATCTTGCTCTGCATGATGGCTTTGATTGCTTGGTTAAATCTAACCCAAGTATGTCCTATTGTGCAGTTTGGGCGTGGTGGTAGAAGCCTGGGTGAGTCATGTTGATGACCAATTGTGGTTTCTTTTTTCTCTACCATGAAGAAATATGGCTTGCTCAGCATATCAGCCGAGTCTAAATACCTTCAGGATATGCTACCAGAGACAGTTATTAATGGGTGAAAGACATACTGAGAGAAGAAATGAGGGCAAGGAAAATTTAGATGACTACTTTGAGTGGGAGGGTTGGATTCGGATATAGAGAAAGGATAAGATCATTTGAAAATCTTCCATATCACAAGAATGCACTAACTCTTTTATAAGTAAAAGTTGATTCCCATGAGCCACTTAGTCTCAGTAAATTCCAGACTGAAACAACATATTAAAAGGATTGATCTGGCTGTGTTAAGAATTTGAAGTGAATGGTATGCTGTGCAGAAAATTGGGCTCCCAAGACTTCTGTGTAGACAATTAACTCAATAAAGTGGTATTTGTGTGGGGGAGGTTGAGTGGAAGTAAAAGAAAAACCAGCCAGAGTTTGTGGTATAACTCGATTTTCAGAGATACTTTGCCAGGCAAAATATTAAGCTGTATGACTCAGTTTCTTGTGTTGCACACAGGTCTGAGGGGACATAAAGAACTTGTCACTATCCTAGGATGAGGACAGCTATAGGATGATGGGTCTGGTGTATTTATTACCATGAATACATCATCCCAAACTTGTTTTCTTCGCTCCCTAGCAAAAGATGGAATTGTTACAATAATCAGCCTTTCTATCAGCACAAACACGCATGAAACAAATATTTCAATCATGTTCATATTTCCTAAGAAGATGGGGAAGGCACCCATTCTTGGAAAGGAGCAAATCAAGGCAAATTCTGGCTTCCCACTCAGAGATATGGGGCTGGATCAGGGCTTTCCTAGAGTACTGCTCACGTGGGGATCACACTATGGTCTGGTGAACGTCTGGAATGCTGAATGTGAACAGATCTAAGAATTCACCAACTGGTTAGGAGTAAGGTCCAGCCAAAAATGGTTTGCCTCTGTCCAGTGGATACTCTGGGGCTTAAAATTAAAAAAAAATTTTTTTAAGTAATCTCTATACTCAACATGGGGCCTGAACTCACAACTTTGAGTTCAAGAGTTACATGCTCTACCAACTGAGCCAGCCAGGAGCCTGGAGTTTAAAATTTTTAAATTAATAGCAATAATAAATACAATATGATAATTGCATTTAAGTGCAATATAGGGATCCCTGGGTGGCGCAGCGGTTTGGCGCCTGCCTTTGACCCAGGGCGCGATCCTGGAGACCCGGGATCAAATCCCACGTCGGGCTCCCGGTGCATGGAGCCTGCTTCTCCCTCTGCCTGTGTCTTTGCCTCTCTCTCTCTCTCTCTCTCTCTCTCTTTGTGTGTGACTATCATAAATAAATAAATAAAAAATATGTGCAATATAATAGTGGCACCTGGGTGGCTCAGTTAGTTAAACATTAAACATCTGACTCTTGATTTCAACTCAGGGTCACAAGATCAAGCCCTATGTGGGGCTTGATGCTGTGTATGGAGTCTGCTCAAGATTCTCTCTCTCCCTCCACCTCTCCCCCTCCCCCTCTTCTGTCTCTGTCTCCAAAAGAAATTAAAATTAAAAAATTAAAATACATATGCAATATAATAATTGTAACCAGCACACTTATCATACAGGAGGCACTATGACAAGTGCTTTAATTCAGTCTTCAGAATAGCCCTACGAAGTGCATATTCAATTTTATTATGCACAGGTAACAGAGGAGAGAACTGAGTTTCAGGGTGATCGAATAACTTGCTCAAGGTTATATAGTCAGTAAGTGTCAGAGCTGGGACTTGAACCCAGCTGTGTGGATCTAAAGCTTGAATGCTTTTCCCACTATGCTGTGTTGCCAAAATGTGATGGCCTCCAGGAAATGGAAGTGATATTCACCTAGGCGTTTACTTGGCTCTTTCCTTTACTTCTCCATAGGAATGCTGATTGAACTGTGTATTTATGTAAAAATACACTCCTAATTCTTTTTAAAAAATAACCTTTGAATTTTAGAACAGTTTCAATTTTATAGAAAAGTTGCAAAGATAGTATAGAAGGTTCTTATTAGTCTCCTCTAGTTTCCCCTATTGTTAACATTATATATATATATATATATATATATATATATATATATATATATATATATTACCATGGTACATCTGTCACACCTAATGGACCAACACTGATGTGTCACTATTAACTAAACTCCATACTTTACTCTTATTTCAATTTAATTCTCCTTTGATTTTTCTTTTCCAGGATCCCATCCAGGATACCACATTGCATGCGGTCATCATGTCTCATTAGGCTCCTCTGTACTGTGACAGCTTTTTAGACTTTTCTTATTTCTGACGACCTTGATGCTTTTAAGGAATACTGCTCAGATGTTTATAGAATCTCCCTCATTTTGGGTTTCTGGTGATGTTTTTCTAGTCTCAGGGTTATGGATTTGGGGGAGGAAGGACCATAGAGGTGAAGGGTCATTCTTAGAACATCATATCAAGGATATACACTATCAACATGATTCATCACTGAGGATGTTAATCTTGTTCATCTGGTCATTTCTGTGCTGATTTCCTCCACTGTGAAGTTACCTTTTTATACTTTTCCATATGATTTGGGAGCAAGCCACCAGATGTAGACCACACTCAAAGGGGTGAAGAGTTAAACTCTTGCCCCCTTGAAGACTATCTACAAAAATTAGTTGGAGTTGTTTTGTATGGGCTATGTGTCTTTTCTCTCTTATTTACTTATTCAATCATATGTTTATGTCAGTATGGCATTACATAGTTTTATTTTATACCATATGTTATAACCTAATACTGCATTATTTATTTTGTTGCTCTGATTTTTCCAGCTTTGGCCATTGGGAGGGGGAGGTCAGCTCCTGTTTCCCTTTGACATGCTTCCAGCATTTTGTTTTTGGACGCTCCCTTACTTTCTGGCACTACAGAATGCTCTAGGCTCAACTTGTATATACTCTGCCCCAGCAGTAGAATTAACCATTTATTTACATGCTGATTCCTTCTATTGGAAAATGGTATTAGAAACTAAGATCTGAGGGCTAGCTTTGATTATTGCTACTGGGGTATCTTTGCTTCTAGGACAGAGCTCAAAACCTAGAGCTGGGAAATATATGTATATATGAGCCCATGTTTACACACATATCTTATAATTATTCCTGTATCCATCCATTTGTATATTAAGCTTAACATGAGCTCATGCTGAGGTCTCCAACTCGAATCCATACCACAAGTTTCATTCTAGACTTTTCCCTTGCTTATCTGCAATTTTCCACTCCACAAGTAAGAAAACTGGATTCTATCATCTGCTATTATTTATTTGTTCAGTTCTAGCTTATTCATACAGTAGTTTCAGAATTCTTAATCTTTACTACCACAAAAAACAACTTTATCAA